TTTTATAGTTTTTATTTTTGTTTAAAGTGAGTGGATTCTTAAAATATGTGCAATTAACATTGATGGTTTAACTGAACTTAAAATACCATAATGTGTTACGGCTCAAATGTACAAAATGTGTTAAACTTACGCAAACAAAATTATCATCAAACACTTTGAACGTAAACATCGCTACGTTTTCAGCGTTTAAAAAAAATAATAATCTAGGAGCTACTGCCAAAATCTTCTGACACAACATCAAAGTATTTTCCTTAAGAAAAATTTCCGTGATGAGAAGCGTCCAAGGATAATAATTCTATTAGATTTGACCAGGATTGTCCCGGTCGTCCAAGGATAATTCTATTATATTTGACCAGTACTGTCCCGGTCGTCCAAGGATAATTCTATTAGATTTGACCAGTACTGTCCCGGTCGTCCAAGGATAATTCTATTAGATTTGACCAGTATTGTCCCGGTCGTCCAAGGTTACTTCTATTAGATTTGACCAGGACTGTCCTGGTCGTCCATGGATACTTCTATTAGATTCGACCAGGACTCTCCCGGTCGTCCAAGGATACTTCTATTAGATTTGACCAGGACTGTCCCGGTCGTCCAACGATACTTCTATTAGATGTGATGTATTGTGTTCGACCAGGATTGTCCCGGTGTCCCGGCCGGTTTGTCCGGGCTTCCATGATTTTTTTAAAAATAAAACAAAAAAGTTATTTCTATGTTAGTCACTGTGTCTTAGAGTTAGAGTACAGGGTGTTGATGTCAGAAAGTGCTTTGTATCAAATGACACGTTCAATGGAACTAAGCTCAATTCTATGAGGAAATCTTGACAAGGTCTAAGCCTACTACACAATGGGAGCTTATTTATGATTAAGTCCACGCGTAAAGTTGATGCCTCTTTCAATATGAGGCCTGGCCAAATAGTCGGCCAAAACGACAAGCCAAACCCCGCTTCCTATGGAAATAAAGACATATTTTGATATAAGTGAGTTATTAGCTTCTCATGAGTATGGAAATATAAAAATATTTTGATGCAATTTAGTCAGGAGCTTCTCATAACTATAGTTGATTCCTCATTATTAAGAATTTGTACACAAATATTAAAGACATTTCTGAGAAAGTTAGATTGAAGGCAGAGTATGAGTAATCTTGTTCTCCTCACATACCCAACTTGCATGATGTGCTTTTCAGACAACTTGAAAAAGAGCCGCACGCGCGAACTCTCCTAAAGCTTAGCACCACAAAACACATAGTATATGATTTGGAAATACATTTTTTAAACCCGTGGCCCCTTTGCACACCCCCCCCCCCTTTTTTTTTGCACCCACCCCCCGTTTTTTAAGGAACATCATGAGAAGCCACTTCCCATTAGTTCCAGTTACAATCCTAAAATTACTTTGTATGGTAAAATGCCTCACAACTTTTTATTTTAGAAAGATTTTTTAATTAAAATAATTCCCCGGCTTAAGAAAGGGGGGGGGGGACGATTTTTGTAGAGAGGGAGGGACGCCATTTTCGATCTGCTGCATAGTTTTGATCGTGAAAGTGTGGCCTGCCCAGGACGGCACTAACCCCAGCTCAGTGGTCGGCACTTACCCCAGCTCAGTGGTCGGCACTTACCCCAGCTCAGTGGTCGGCACTGACCCCAGCTCAGTGGTCGGCACTTACCCCAGCTCAGTGGTCGGCACTTACCCCAGCTCAGTGGTCGGCACTTACCCCAGCTCAGTGGTCGGCACTAACCCCAGCTCAGTGGTCGGCACTTACCCCAGCTCAGTGGTCGACACTTACCCCAGCTCAGTGGTCGGCAAACTCATTAAACTAAAGACACACAAAATCAACAGCAGGACGATTTAAAAAATTCTGAGAGCCAAATGTATTTTCGAGAACATGCCAAGAATCATGTTTTTCAGAGTCAAACCCGATTTGTGGTCGGCTGGCTTGCCGACCACTGCCCTACCTACACCATTTGGCGAGCCAAAATGAATCCTAATGGCGTTAGGGACTGCTATAACGCCACCCACTTCGCCCAGCATAAACCAATGTTATTTTAGTTGAGGGTGTGCTTTTGGCCCCAGCTAAGTTTCACCCCTGGAATCTATGAAGACAACACTCATTTTGATTAGAGTTGCCGGACAGAAAGCGATACTATGTTTGATTTTGATTAATTCAAAATCAAGGGGTGCAGTTTTGATGTAAACCTAAATGTAGTGTTACTTTCAGAACATAAAAAAAAAAACCAAAAAAAAAAACCACTTCTTTAAAAATAATCTTTTTTTTTAAAGAAAAAGGGGGGGGGGGTTGTATTTTTCCGGAGAGCAAGATGTATCAAGGTATCTATCAGCACACAAATTTGGCATTAGGGAACACGATGCTATATATAATTTGAATTCACTCAGGTCGTGGCGAAACCCCGGGTATTCTTTGGGCCCCAACGTAAGTTTCGCCACCCGCCCCAAATTAGTTTCGAAATAGTAGGTGAAATAAGTCTGCGGTGTGATATGGAATGGGCCATTAGAAGATTAATATAGTTCAGGGGAGTGAAGAAAATGTGCAGTTGCGAGTCCAGGAAAGGGGGAGGGGGGGGGGAAAGCACTAATTGGGATTCTTATAAAGTGCTTTATGTATGTATTGTCAAATTTTTCAGGCCCCCCCCCCCCCTCATTCTTACATCGATTTACTCGAAACATTTGGCTTTAGGGTTTTTTTAATTATATTTTAATAATAGAATTGTAATTTTTTTAAAAAAAAAGGGGGGGGGGGGGGGGGAAAGCACTAATTGGGATTCTTATAAAGTGCTTTATGTATGTATTGTCAAATTTTTCAGGCCCCCCCCCCCGCTCATTCTTACATCGATTTACTCGAAACATTTGGCTTTAGGGATTTTTTAATTATATTTTAATAATAGAATTGTAATATTTTTAAAAAAAAATCTCAATTAGCGCAGTTATCTGGCATTTTATTTCGTGAAATCAGTGTCATCATATTTCCTTCATTTTCCCCTTGAAAGGCAGGAAAAACTCATTTTGGGGGGGGGGGTTGAAAATTTGATTAGAATGTGTAGAATCGGCAAAGATAGGTCGACGAGAAGTGGGTCAATTAGCTGTCCGAAGATTTTTTCAGGCAGCAACAAACAAAGCGATTTTAATATAAAGGATTTAAAAATGGCAATTTGGCAATAAAAAAGATATTTATATTTTCAATTTATTGTTTTTTTGTGTGGACATTTTTCTCCGGGGGGGGGGGTGTCACCTGACTTTCTCGTGAGGGGGGAGGAGGGGTTGGCGGTTGCACTCCTTGGGATGCCACCTCATGCTGGGAGAGCCATGCTTCAGAAGCTTTCTACTTGCTAACACAAAGGCCGATATCTGCAAGCTAAATTATATAAATCATGCGGTAAAAAAAGAGGCGACCCAGTTGACAGCTTTCCAAATCCAAGCAAAGTACATGGCATGAAATCAGTCGTCACTAGCTTATAGCCCACACCCCTCAATCCTTTTTGCACTAACAGACGGATTTGGGTCACTAACCCAGCGCCTTTGACACAGTCAACTTACACATACGTTAATACAAGATAGGCGTGGGTGGTTCATAGAACAGAGCACACATGCTCGCTTTTAAGTACACATCCTATCTATAAAGTACACATCATATCTATAAAGGACACAGCTTAACTATAAAGTATACATCTTATCCATAAAGTACACATCGTATCTATAAAGGACACAGCTTATCTATAAAGTGCACATTACTTCCATAAAGTACACATCCTATCTATCAAGTACACATCTTATCTCTAAAGTACACATTACATCCATAAAGTACACATCGTATCTATAAAGTACACATCATATCTATAAAGTACACATCCTATCTATAAAGGACACATCTTATCTATAAAGTACACATCTTATCATAAAGTACACATCGTATCTATAAAGTACACATCTTATCTATAAAGTACACATCACATCCATAAAGTACACATCGTATCTATAAAGTACACATCCTATCTATAAAGTACACATCACATCCATAAAGAACACATCGTATCTATAAAGTACACATCATATCTATAAAGTACACATCCTATCTATAAAGTACACATCACATCCATGAAGTACACATCGTATCTATAAAGTACACATCCTATTTATAAAGTACACATTACATCCATAAAGAACACATCGTATCTATAAAGTACACATCATATCTATAAAGTACACATCCTATCTATAAAGTACATATCACATCCATAAAGTACACATCGTATCTATAAAGTACACATCACATCTATAAAGTACACATCTTATCTTTAGTTTGAGAAACACGCATCAAACATGGCACAATGTTCTGTCAACTAGAAGAGATCTGAATCACTTTTTATTTTATGTTAACGTTTTCATTATAACATTCCTTTTGATTAAGTCTTTAGATTGACGTGGTTATTTTGTCAATATACCATGCAACATTAACTGTCACACACAGATGGACTTGGGTAAATCTGTAGTGTATCAGATTTGTTATCTAAATGTATAGTGAGTCAGATTTGTTATCTGAATCTGTAGTGTGTCATATTTGTTATCTAAATGTGCAGTGTGTCAGATTTGTTATCTAAATGTATAGTGTGTCATATTTGTTATCTAAATGTGTAGTGTGTCAGATTTGTTATCTAAATGTGTAGTGTGTCATATTTGTTATCTAAATGTGTAGTGTGTCAGATTTGTTATCTAAATGTATAGTGTGTCATATTTGTTATCTAAATGTGTAGTGTGTCAGATTTGTTATCTAAATGTGTAGTTGGTTCGTTATTACTCCTATTAAATGTTAACACTTTTTGTTCAAGTTTGTTCTGACGATAGTTCCCACAAAACAAGATTTTTAGTTAATTTCTTCCTATATCACAAATAGTCTTCCTTTTTTGTTAATGGGGACTTATAATTTGACAGGAAGCTTGTGCTGCCCAGATGTTATCCTAATATTGTTATTCTATTTTCAGAAAACTGTCATCAATGTGTTCCCCATCTAAAGTCCTCGTGGCCCTGGCCGTAACCTTTATCCTTTCACCGACCACCAGTCGGGCTAAAACAGTCGTCATGTTCCCGGGACCTTCAAAAAGCTACTTCATTTACCACGCCAACATCGGGCAGGCCCTGGTGGATCTCGGACACGACGTGTGGATATGTATCCCCGACTACCTGGCGGACAAAGGTCTCATCAAGTACAAGGACATCAAAACAATCGTGTACGGTAAAGGACTGGGAGATATTGAGGACAACATGTTAGAAGCGTCAAACATCATCGCCAAATTCTGGGCTGGGTTTGATACAGGTTTCGGTGACCTACTCACGATAACAAGACTTTTCAGGAGATTTACACGGGTTATTCTGTGTGATCAAAGTTTTGAAGAGACCATAGTCAATCTCAAGCCAGATTTATTTATCTTAGACGCGTTCATGTTCACGAGAGAGCTGCTGGTAATCCCGTACAAACATGAGCTGCCTTTTGCTTTGATTGGCACATTGCATGAGTTAGACTTAGCCAGGGTTCCCTACAGTCCAGCGGTAGAGCCCTACATGACCCAGAAGGGGACCAATAGGATGAACTTCTTTCAGAGGGTGGAGGCCACAATATTAGCTTCAATTTCGAAAATCCATGACCCATTTTCAGACAACAGTGCGGTTACCACATTCGCCCCTGAAAAGCCCTATAAATCATTGAATGACATCGCCTTACAAGCTGAAATATTCATCTCTGAATCTGACCACATTCTTGACTATCCCAGACCAGAGCTCCCAAACACAAAACGTATTGGGGGATCTTCTGTAAGTGAGGCCAAGCCACTGACAGGAGATTTTCAAACGTTAGACAATTCTGTCAACGGGTTAGTTGTAGTTTCTTTCGGAAGCTTAGATCTGAAATGCCCAACGCATATCTTAACCAAAATGGTGGCCGCTTTTGAAAAACTTGATTTGAATGTTGTGTGGAAAGCTAATTTAACTTCTCCTAAGCCGGACAAAATCATGATTAAACATTGGTTGCCTCAAAATGATCTCCTGGGTCACCCCAAGACCAAAGTGTTTGTATCACATTGTGGTAAGAATGGACAGTACGAAGCCCTGTATCACGCCGTACCTATTCTCTGTCTTCCCGTATTAGGTGATCAGCATTACAACAGTGAACGGATCATTGTAAAAGGTTTTGGACTTGGCGCAGATATAAGAACAATTACAGCGGAAGAATTCGCTGACCTGATCAAAGAAGTCGCCTATAATCCCAAATACAAGACCAACATACAGAGGGCATCAACGTTATTCAAAGAACTCTACAAAGTACCAATGAAGGAAGCCGCCTACTGGTTTGATCACGTGATGAAATATGGGGGAGACTACATGAGGTCATCTGGTCAAGAAATGCCGCTGTATCAATTTCTTCTCTTGGACGTTATGGCTTTCTTCATTGGCGTCCTGTTTGCTACACTATTACTACTCTTCTTTGTGGCCAGATTTTGCTATCGACGCATCAGACGGTTTAAGATAAAAGCAGATTAAAACCATGTGACAAGTTCAAACTAAGCAAGAATGTACAGTTTTGGGGCACTCTGCCATTATGTAAAAATGCAAATCAATATTTATATAAAGACCATCTGTAAACAATTTTTTACGGTTCCCAAATCACTTCCTTTATTTATATCAAACGCATTCTCCCCTGTCTGTGAACACAATGTCCCCTGCCCTCTGACACATTACCCCCTTCTCTCCAACCCATGAACTCCTACCCTTAAACCCATTCTCCCCTGCCCTCCAAAACATCCTTTCCTGCAGTCGCATTATCCATTCGATGTCCAGCAAAACATCCTACGCTGCCCTCCCACAATTCCTCCCCATGTCCACCAAAACATCCTCCTCTGCCCTCCCAAGTCCACCAAAACATCATCTCCTGCCCTCATACCTCCCAAGTCCACCAAAACATCATCTCCTGCCCTCATACAACTCCTCGCATGCCCACCAAAAAATCATCCCCTGCCCTACCACAATTCCTCCCATGCCCACCAACACATAATCTCCTGCCCTCCAACAATTCCTCCCAAGTCCACCAAAATATCATACTCTGCCCTCCCAAGTCCACCAAAAATCCTCCCCTGCCCTCCCACAATTCCTTCCATGCCCACCAAAACATCATCTCCTGCCCTCCAACAATTCCTCCCATGTCCACCAAGTCAACCTCCCGTGCCCTTCCACAATTCCTCACATGTCAAACCAACACATCCTCCCCTGCTCTCCAATACAAACTCTCCTGCCCTGCAACACACTTTTTACAAACATTTGAATGTTCACTAACAGCTCAAGCCTAACTCCTTCACTAAATCACACTCACCCCCTTTCAGCAGCCATAATTGCTACTATTTAAACATCACGGCCATTCACTCCAACCATCCCGACTCAAACATCACGGCCATTCACTCCCATCATCCCGAGTCAAACATCACGGCCATTCACTCCCATCATCCCGAGTCAAACATCACGGCCATTAACTCCCATCATCCCGAGTCATAAATCACGGCCATTCAATCCCATCATCCCGAGTCAAACATCACGGCCATTCACTCCCATCATCCCGAGTCAAACATCACGGCCATTCACTCCCATCATCCCGAGTCATAAATCACGGCCATTAACTCCCATCATCCCGAGTCAAACATCACGGCCATTCACTCCCACCATCCCGAGTCAAACATCACGGCCATTCACTCCCATCATCCCGAGTCAAACATCACGGCCATTCACGCCCATCATCCCGAGTCAAACATCACGGCCATTCACTCCCATCATCCCGAGTCATAAATCACGGCCATCCACTCCCATCATCCCGAGTCAAACATCACGGCCATTACCTCCCAATCCTCCCGATTTAAACGCCTTAATTCCTTTAGATTTCAACCAACCCATCCTTTTCCACTTACCATCACTCCTGGACAATACCCTGCCCATCCACCCAATCTTCCCACCATCTCTCCCTCTTAACCCCACCCTCTAACTTAATTAGAGTGTGTGTGTGGGGGGGGGAGGAGGGGGGTGAATCACTAAATACATTCGTAACGTTTCTCCTATACGGTGCTTGATAGATTTACAGTGAAATGCTCTTTGTGTCTGTCAGATGTATATGAAAATTTGAGTTCGCGTACCAGGATATACTTTACAATAAACTACCCCCAGCTCACTCTACTTGATGTCAAATTCTTTAAGTTGAATTGACGTCTATATCCGAGAATCCCTTGTTCCCCATCAATTCATCCTCATTTACCCACACAGTATACGCCTTCGACCATCCACCCACCCTCTACCCTAAAGGTCCAAACGTATAGTCTCTACCCCTTACAATACTGAATAATTATGTCAGGTTTTACAACCTGCGAAGCTCGCAGCGAGTGGCATTTCAAGGGGTGCGAGGAAAAGTCATTGAAGAACGGATATGAAATTGACTTACGTTATCATAGAAATGTCTTTACTAAATAATATCTTCTTTATAAATTTATTTTTATATAGAATAAACAAATTATAAGCCTAATTTATTCTAAAATGCATGTTTACTTTTCTAAAGGTTCAAGACTATTATATATTATTAAAGTGTAGCTGGCGAAAAAAGCAGGTGTGTTATGTTGCACAGCTCTAACATGGGTTTAAGGGCACAGGTGTGTTATGTTGCACAGCTCTAACTGAGGTGAACCAAATATGGAATTACGCCACCAATGTGGCCACACGCCACTAATGAGGCCACACGCCACTAATGAGGCCACACCCACTAATGAGGCCACACGCCACTAATGAAGCCACACGCCACTAATGAGGCCACACGCCACTAATGAGGCCACACGCCACTAATGAAGCCACACGCCACTAATGAGGCCACACGCCACTAATGAGGC